TTTGTTGACAACTAGTTTGACAACCCATGTGTTGTCAAAATATCGGCCATCAATTTCAAAAATAGTTTTTTAAATGAACGGATATATTGTTTGACAAGTCACGAATTGTAAAAGAAATTGTAAACGAGATTGTACAAGTAGCATAACTCTTATCCAATTAGACAAAAGTTGCTCCCTTTGTTTGTCTTTTGTGTGTAATTGAATATATCCGTTGACTTCTTCCTCCCAAATTGCCAGCCACTATACACGCTGTATATATATATAAATCAATTCAGCCACTTTGTTCCCAGCCTCTGTTTCTTCCCAGAAAAGCCGGCTCCTATGCGTGAAAAAAAGTGAAATTAATTGCTGCAACTCCACTCCTTTTTTTTTATATCCAGGTATCCTAATTTACACCAAACTATGTCCTGGACCACCCATTCCCCGCCCCTCAGTGATGTGTGGAGGTTAACCGAAGGATATGCCCAAGTTGACCAGGGTCCATGCACCCTTTATATTCCTGACCCCAATGGATCCTTCCTCCATGGATATTACATCACCAAGTAGCTCCAACCAAATTGAGTATTACAACACTCAGCTGCTCCATCCAGGAATCGAACTCTCCACCCTGAGGTTGCAAACTTTACAACACTCAGCTACTCCATCCAAGAATCGAACTTCCCACCCTAAGGTTGCAAGCCCAGCAATGTCCGTCCTTTGCCAACTCGGATGTGCCCCGGGGGGCAACTCTTCTCCTTTTTTCTTCCTACAATTGGTTGCCCTTTTTTTCTTCTAATAAAAAATTCTGCTTCTCTTCGCGGAATCGTGCTACATGTACAACATTAATTGATAATATTGGTTGACAACATCTTATTTGGCATCATCATATCCGTCCATTTTAAAAAAACTGTTTTCTAGATCACATACTAAGATTTTGACAAGACATGATTGTCAACCATTATTGTCAACCAATTTTGTACACTTCGATTTATTCTAATAATAATCCAATTGCTTCCCCCAAAAAAACTCCCCAAGGACTGCCGGCTTTTGTATATATATAATCTCCAATTGTTTCTTTCCTTAAGAGACCAAAATAAAAAGAAATCCCATCCTCTTCTGACTCCTTCAGCCACCACCCTTTTTTAATCAATCCAACAATACTTCAATGCCAATTGAATTTGATTCCAAGTTGAAGCCCATTAATGCTATAATTTCTTTTAGTCCTCAATCTTTCGAAATAATAAAATTCAGTACTTGAATCCCTTTATTTGTGCGACCCATGTCTTCTTTAATTTAATTCGTGTCCTTTAATTCTCAAAGTGTGAAATTTGATTCCAAATTTCCACCCAATAGTCAATTTATCCTTCTTCCCATTCCAATTGCTTCGTACATGTTCAAAACTTGGATTTTGCTATTTTTCGCTATTTTGTGTTCTTTTCTTCAATTTTTCATTAAATATAAAGTTTTATCTACATAATAAGATATAACATAAATTAGGTAGAATTTTATTCAAAAGACAATAAAATATCATGATTTAGCGTCTCGAATAAACATAAAAACTACACTTATCAATTGAGTCAAAATTTAACCAACCAACTAAAAAAATAAAATGAGTAATTCTACTTGTACATAGTGAAGTTATATAATGATTTACATATAAATGATATGTAAAAAAAAAAGTTAGAATTTTTAATTTTTTTTATTTGATTGAAGAAAATTTGACCCAATCATATTTCACCACATTATATATATGTAACCTATTATATACATTTAACATAACCGAAATAAAACGGCCCGCTTTCTTTTTACCACCTCATCAATTTGTAAAAGAATTTGTAAATGGTGATTATTCTTTTATATTTGATGACAATTTTTTGTCAAAATAATTCGTTGGAGTGTTTCAAAACGAAAGATAAATACATTGCTAAACTTTTGTATTTTGTTATTTTTTATTCTTGGTTAAAAATTTGAGGGACAAATAAGTTTTTTTACTCCCGTATACTAGACTTTTTGGTGAAAATGTCTTCAATGACAAATGCGCTAACAAATTGAAGGTTAGTGAGAAGAATGGAACGAAAAACGTTGGGGACATGAGTGTAGAAATGAGCAAAGATTGATGACTTAAATTGTAATAAAGATGTGGTGGGAATAACAAAAGATTCAGTGTGAATATAATTATCTTTTTTTAAAATCGTTAAATATATGAGGGTATAGGTGTAAATTCAGTTTTCTTTGTGTAAACGCCAACTTCCATAACCGTTTCTTGGACAAGATCCACCTGGCATGCCGTATCAACCGTTCCTTTCCTTTTATTATTTTCTTCCTCTCGTTCTTTGAGACACCGAAACAAGAAACCTCAACAAATGCTAAATTAATCTCAATATCAAGCATTAATAAATCTGTCAATTCCTCAAATAATTTTTAAACCCTCCATAATCAACCCCATTTCTTTGTTTTCTCCGTTCACCCACCCCATTTCAAATCTCATAATTTAATTGTGTAATAATCCAAAAATATATAATCATTTGTAAGAAAAGTTCTTGGCCAGTTCTAGAAACACCATTCATCAAGAAAAGGGGCATTGAATTATTTTGGTAAGATTTTCTCAAGAATTCATATATTGATGCATATTATTGGATGGATATGATTATATCAACACGATTGAAATTAGGGAATATTTTGAAATTTTAAAGAATTTTTGGAGCCTAGAAAATTATATATGTTCATATATTTTAACTGGGATCAGTTCTATATTCTTCCCTTTTTCTTTTTCTATATAGAGGATTATTTGTATGGCATATTTTGTATTCTCTGCTGAAGGTGAAGGAGATTTCCTCAGATGCGTTTGTCTACAATGGGAATACAAATATTATTTTCGCCTCTGATGGTGATGATGATGGTGATCGTGGCACGTGCTGGAGACACTAATCCCGTATTTGATCCGTGTTCGGATACAAAAGTTCAGAGATGGGATGGGTTTACATTTGGTCTTGCATTTTCTTCAAAGGATTCTTTCTTTTTCAATCAAACTCAGCTGTCCCCTTGTGATACTCGTCTCTCCCTCTCAAGCGGCTCTGGTGCTGAGGTCGCCGTATTTAGGCCAAAGGTTGATGAGATTTCGCTTCTCACCATCAACACCTTCAATCCTGTATGCTCCCTTAACTTAATTTGTTCGAATTCTTTGTAGATAAAAATGGCATGTTTGGTACAGAGATTGGATAGGACTAAGAAAAAAAGTTCAAATCTTGTCCATCATCCGTCTAGTTTTATTAAATACTACGTACCAAACATACACAAAATGAATGGAAATCATTTTCTGGAATACAAATTTTTTGAAGCATGTCCATTTTTCTTTGTTCACTTTTGGAGGAATAAAGAATAAAGATAATAAATATTGATATACCAGAGATTAATGTAAAGTACGGCTGGCCGGGTATATTTTAGTTCTATCGTTGTTTCATCAAACGTTTTTTACAGCTAAAGGGCAAAAAAGTTCGTCAATGACTCGAACTCTGTTTTTGGTCATTGATTAATCTCATTTTATACTTACAAAGCAAAAAAGAAAATGTTGACGAGTTGAAAGATGACACACCTTATTTTTCTTTCTTGTTGCTGCATAAGAAAAGGCCGAATCTAAAACTATGATTACATAATCATGATTTGCCAACATTCTTAGAGAAAGGCAGGAGGTTATATGGTTGCATTTGCTGGACGACAATATGCAGCTCGATCAGTTCCTATCTTTGTTGCAGACGACACTAATACTGTAGCCAGCTTTACCCTGGTAAAATTACTGTGTGCGAAAATTTCTTTTTCCCTATAATGACAGCAATGGACTGTGCGACTGTATTAAACACATTGTTGTTTCTCAGGTTCTAGAATTCAAGAATGGCATTCTCCAAAATTTATTTTGGAAGAAATTTGGGTGCGGTTCGTGTAATGGGGACTCGTTTATTTGCCTAAACAATACTGATTGTGCAATTCCAAATTCAAAATGTAAGGTCAATGGTGGATCTATGCCTTGTGACCTGGGAATACAGTTGGCTTTCTCCGGCACGGACAAGAATGACAACGTGCTTAACTCGTGGTATGAGGTGGGAAATCTTCGACAGTACTCCCTCTATGCCTTGTATTCTGATCTTCGTAATTCTCTCACCGCTCCATTTACAAACCTTTTCTAGAAATCCTATGATGCCGTTGTCCATCAGATGATATTTGTTACAGGAAAACAAGGATTTTATTATTATTATTATTATTTTTTATGTGAGATTTGGTGCAATTTTGGCAAATTACACTGCTTCTTTAACGTCACCTTCTCCTAATAGGTGATTTACTTTGTACTATGTACGAGTTCATTTTTAATGATAGATTTTGTGTTCCTGTACACTTCTCCTCATTTTTACTTATACAAGCATGGGTTTGATGTTGCCTTTTACATATCACACTGCAAAAGTGAGTGTTGTTTATCTGTTGAATGGTTAATCAATGCAGCTATCTTTTGTTATGAATTATATTTATGCTCCAAGTTAAATTTGTGGGCAAAATTGTACCTAAAATTTTCTTTCTATACTTAAACAAGCATTTGGATTGTCATCTAAGTTTTCTTGACATTTGAGTTCCCAACTCTCAATCATCATCCCTCCCCAGCTCCCCTGTCCTCTTCCCGTCCTCGTTCTGGATATTAGATTGAGCATTTGAACCTCCTTTCTACTTTACTGAGGATGTAAATGCTATAAAATTGAAAGTTGAGACAAAATGTCAAGAATAATTGGATGAAGACTTGAATTCTGAAACTAAACAAGAACTATACATCCAATCGTCATTTTTCAGATCGACAAAACTAAACAAGAAGTATATGTCCAAGCAATTCGGATATCACGGATTAATATAACTTCTAAATCAAGAAAACTACTTGACTTACAACTGCATCAGGCCAATCTGAGTTTCTAAGATTTCGTAGCAAAAAAGTAACAGGTCCAAATGGAAACAGAAGCAGTATATATACATAGCTCTGATTTTCAGTCAAAGAATATACAGATAAAGCAGCCAAGATTTCCAGTTACCAGCAGGTTAAAATCGGACATCCCCACAGAAAATATATTGAAGAAACTATACGTAGGAACTGGAAACTGTGTGTCAAATAAAATATGAAACCTTTGTTCTCACAAACTTGAGGTGGGCTACATGAATATTTTTTCATCTCTTCATTGAAGTTCATTATTAGGTGTACTGAAAGATGTAAAGCAAGTAAATTCTTAACTATCAAAACATACCGTGTTAGTTTAGATTTGTCCCTCCCAAACTTCTAATCTGTTATATTAAAATTATATTACTCCATGAACACAATCTCTTTAGATCTATGCAAACACATGCCCAGAGTTCCTAATTGTCTAAGTCATTGTTCCCCTAATTTATAATTAATTGGTGCCAAATGTAAGAAAAAGATGAAAATTTCAAGAAAGTAACTTCATCATCAATTTTTTTACTCAACTGATATGACAGAAAAGCACAACTGATCATATGCTGGAAATAGGCTACAATCTGTTTGAAGACTTGTTCATAATCTATTTTTAGCCCATCCCTTTTCATTCAAACAAACTCTCCGATATGCAAGCAAAACCTCCCATGTTCGTCTTGTCTCTAGATGAAGATAGCTTCAAATTATTTGGTGTCCGAATTATTTGGAGCTCCTATTTTATACCTCCACAAATAGCTTTCCACCAATCCTTTCATCAACATCAATATAACATCCTCGTTTATTCCGGTGCATATGTACTATAAGCGGCCTTGGGCTTGTCCTAGGGAGTTTTAACAATGGCAAACCCGAAGGCCTGTGTCTGTTTTCTCTTCATTTCCCTTCTCTCGTTTTTGTCCTTGTCTCTCGCTTTAACTGATGGCGAGGTAGCATACATTGTGCGCCGCCAGCTTTTGTCTCTCCCCGAGGATGGTGACCTTTCCGTTGATATGGTATTCGAGGTTGATGTTAATATCAAGTTTGAGAATTCAAGGCTCAAACAAGCTTATATTGGCCTTCAGGCGTGGAAGAAAGCCGTCTATTCTGATCCATTAAACTTTACGGGTAATTGGGATGGCCCTGATGTCTGTGCCTACAAAGGTGTATTTTGTGCACCAGCACTAGATGATCCCAAAATGACTGTGGTAGCTGGTGTCGATTTAAATCATGCGGACATTGCAGGACATCTCCCTGTTGAAATCGGGCTTCTAGCCGATGTTAGCCTTATTCATTTGAATTCCAACAGGTTTTGTGGAATAATTCCAAAAAGCTTCTCTAAACTAAAACTTCTTTACGAGTTTGATGTTAGTAACAATCGCTTCGTTGGACCTTTCCCTAAGGTTGTATTGGATTTGCCCACCCTCAAGTACCTTGATATAAGGTACAATGATTTCGAAGGGCCGTTGCCTCCCGAACTTTTCCACAAGGACTTTGATGCTATTTTTGTCAACAACAACAGGTTCCACTCCAACATCCCTGAAAGCTTTGGCAATTCTCCAGCTTCAGTAATTGTGATTGCCAACAACAAGTTCACCGGATGCATTCCAGCCAGCATTGGCAAAATGGGAAATACCTTGGAGGAGGTTCTTTTCTCGAACAATCTTTTCTCTGGTTGCTTGCCAGAGGAAATTACACTTTTGAACGGCACAAAGGTTATTGACCTAAGCAGTAACGAGTTGATTGGAGACCTGCCTGAAGGTCTGGAGTACCTGCAGCAAGTAGAAATCTTAGAAATTGAAAACAACATATTCAGAGGAAATGTCCCTGAAACCGTTTGCAGCTTACCAAATTTGAATAATTTCACATTCTCTTCCAACTATTTTACGGCCAAGGATCCAATGTGCGAACCCAAGGCAGTGCAAGGCCTTTTCGTGGATGACAAAAATAATTGTTTCCCGGGAAAGAACCAAAGATTGGAAAAGGTCTGTAAGGATGCCTTGAGTAGGCCTGTGAATTGCACTGCTACAGGGTGCAGACCTTCGAACCCCGGCATTGGTTCAAAGCCCCCACACAAACCTACTCCATCGCCAAAGCCTGTAGCTCCACCAAGGCATAAGCCCATCCCACCACAGGAGAAACCGCCTTCGACCCCATCAACACCAAAACCACAGCCACCAAATCCTAAACCATCTCCATCACCATCGGTTCCCAAGCACAAACCAACTCCCTCACCATCAGTTCCCATGCCTAAACCAACACCAACGCCTGAGACGCCAAAGGTTTCGCCTTATTCACCACCCCCACCAAGTCTTAAAGCAGAGCCTCCACAATCACCAAAGGCTCCTTCACCTTCCACCACCAAACCTCCACCAGTAGCCTCACCCCCTCCACCTCCACAAGTTCCCTCTCCACCGCCACGAAGTCCAAAACCAAAGCCTCCACAACCACCAAAGGCTTCTTCTCCACCCCCACCAAGTTCAAAACCCGCCCCAGTACCAGCTCCAACACCAAAACCTTCTAACCCATCTCCCTCACCAGCACCTTCTCCTAAGTCAGTGAAACAGACTCCACCACCATCAAAGTCCACCCCATCACCCCAACTACCTGTTCAGTCGCCATCACCTCTGCCACCAGTTGCCTCATCGCATCCACCTAAGCCAAATCAATCATCAGCACCTGCTCCTGAGCCAGTGATATCAACTCCACCACCACAGAAATCAACCACCCCATCGCCCTCACCTCCTGTTCAGTCACCACCACCTCCACCACCAGTTGCCTCATCTCCTCCTCCAGTTTACTTGCCACCTCCACGAGTTTCCTCCCCACCACCTCCTGTCCACTCTCCACCTCCATCAGTTTCCTCCTCACCACCACCACCAGTCCACTCACCCCTCCCCTCCACCAGTTTCCTCCCCACCTCCTCCTGTCCAGTCACCCCCTCCTCCAGTTTTCTCCCCACCGCCACCAGTCCACTCACTCCCTCCACCAGTTTCCTCCCCGCCACCACCAGTTCACTCACCCCCTCCACCAGTTTCCTCTCCACTGCCACCAGTCCAATCACCATCTCCACCAGCTTCCTCCCAGCCGCCACCAGTGCATTTACCCCCTCCACCAGTTTTCTCCCCACCACCACCAGTGCAATCTCCACCACCACCAACTCCAGTCTTGTCTCCTCCACCTCCAGTGCAGTCATTGCCACCATCAGCTCCATTAGAATCGCCACCACCAACCACATTTGATGACATCCCGCTCCCACCAAACTTGGGCTTCCAGTACGCATCCCCTCCGCCACCAATTTTCCCAGGCTATTAAAGTGAATACTGTAATCTTTTTTTGTAGTACTTTTTATACATCATTAGTAGTAGAGCAAAAAAGCAAATGTAGAAACATTATAATTTGTAAATTTCACAATGTAATTGTTTATAAGCAAATTCATATCTTTTATAAAATAAAAATGATCTTATGATCCCTTGTGTATGTTAATATTAGCTTTACTAGAATAAGTATTATTTAAAATATGCACTTTTGCTATGTTTGTTGTTTCATCCCGTTATTTATAAATAGATATAATCACAACAAATAATAAAAGGAGGAAGCCTCCAAAAAGTAATGCGAAAGCCCCCTGTTCCCTATAGAGCAAACTAACAATGATTGATCTCAAATTTCATGAGATGCTGCTATCACAAAAAAGAAAAACCACGGACATAAATGACATAAAAAGCCAGTAAGATAATTGAAAATAGTGTGAACACAGGAATTGATCTTATCAAATGCATTTTTATTTACAAACTAGCGGAAAGGAAGAAAACAATATAACAATAATCAATATCGCAAATTCTTATAGAAGGAGAAGATTTGGGAAGTTGATTTAGGGCGTGTTCGGTAGATATTAAAATCGGATTAAAATTGAAAAACTAGCCGTTATTGTTGACTTTTGGTCAATCCGGATTTGCAGCTCTCTCTCCTAATATTTAGAGATTCTATAATCAATATCGCAAATTCTTATAGAAGGAGAAGATTTGGGAAGTTGATTTAGGGCGTGTTCGGTAGATATTAAAATCGGATTAAAATTGAAAAACTAGCCGTTATTGTTGACTTTTATTAGACGAGTGGGACCTAATGACATCATATTTTCAATTTTAATTGGATTTTAATCGGAAACAAACAGGCTCTTAGTCAATCTGGATTTGCAGCTCTCTCTCCTAATATTTAGAGATTCTAATTGTATAATTTATTTTGTAGGGTAATTGACACAAAACGTCCCTACCTTTGGGGTTGATTTTGGAAACCGTTTCTACCTTTCATTTATTGGCATTTATATCCTTACCTATCACTTTTCGTGCGCTGAACGTCCTTTTCACCATATTTTGACCATTTTACCCTCCATTCAAATAAAACAAAAAGAAAA